TGAGGAGATTATTCTTTGCCCCGTTAAATAGATTTGGCCCCCTTGTTGAAAATCATTTGGCCATAGATGTATGGGTGTATTTCTGGAGTCTCAGTTCTATTCCATTGATCTGTATTCTATCTAATATATTCTTTTATAATAAGAAAAATTGATTACTGTAACAATATTTTTAAAACTTTTTTTCAAAGTAACTTAAAAACATAAGAGCAAACTGCCATTTCCCATCCTTCACTGATGAGGGGTGGCCTAGATTGGAGATGATTTTTTATCACCTCATACTGTGACATAGCAGCAAGAAATGGATGAACTACTTCTTCCCCAGATCTATTTGTCCACCATTTATATGCAAGGTGGTCATCTCTGAATAGAGTTATATGCTGTTAAATATTTTCTCACCCATCTCTTATATGGAAATGATGCTTTCACCAGAGACCTGCTAATCGGCAACTCCAACAGCCTTTCCTTAACCCTTATGATTCTCTACCCAGTGGTCTCCAGAGTGTGATTTGCTCAAGATTACCCATTGAGGGAAATAAAATAATTGAACTTCTATTTCTTTGTTTTTTTATTTAAAAGGGTAAGAAAGAAGTTGAGCTTTTCTGATAGTTAAGTTATAGATAAACACTGGGTCCATCACTTGGATTACATCTCAGAAGGTCATGTTTTACCGATAGTATTTGAGGCACTCTGAAGGAAGAGTGCCAGGGCTTCCAGTAACGCAGAGGAGCTAACACTGGTACCCTCACTCGTTGGTTCACTTTCAGTCTGTTGTAACCAGTTGCAGTTTACTGTGCCTGGGTAACTGGGTTTTTTGGGATTATATTGTTTTAATAAACTGGCTAAGAAAACGGACAAGTATCTTAAAAGGATTTCTGTAAAGAAACCATAGATTGATTTAATTTGGGGGAAGAGGGGACAGCATTAAAGAATAAAGCGTTACTCATCAGTGAGTTATTTTAGACGATAATGCTTCCTCCTTCAAGTACTGAAACAATTGTAACAGAATCTTTGAAGCCTAGTTTACACGTTCTTCCTTTTTAAACAAAGACTTGTTATTGGTTGCATTCAAGTCCTTTCCTACTCAGGGTGACCCCATGTGTGCAGAATAGAACTCCACCATAGAATTTTCAAGGCTGTGATGTTTCCAAAGCAGATCGCCAAGCCTGTCTTCCGAGGTGCCTCTGGGTAGGTTCGAACTGCCAACCTTTTGGCTAGTAGTGGAGCACTTAAGTGTTTGTGCCACCCAAGGACTCAAACAAAGACTACTGCATATATTAAACATTTCTTAATGACAGAAAGCCCTCATCATGATTATCTATTACTGTAATAAGTTATAATGTGACTATTTGCCATTTTCCTGTTTGGGGCTTGTTTTTTTGGTGTGTTTATGTTTATATATATAACTTACATATACCTCAGGAGTCAGCTGTTCCTAATGCAACAGTGTGCCCACTTCTAATAGTTCCTCCAGACTTTTTTTTAGTTTGTTGCTTCTTATGGGCTGTAGGTATGAAAACTGATAACCAACCTTGATAGAATGCCAAATGATGAAAGTGTCATGAAGTTATTAGTGAGAGATAGTAAAGTGGGTGGCACTCATGTTGGAGAGATGGAGTGCTAGTCCATCAGATAACTGGGTACTGTCAGTTTTTCCCTCAAGTTGCAAGTTTCATAATACTTCGTGTTGTTTATCGTTTGTTTAAAAAAACTTTGTAACCAACTCAAAATACTTTTATAAAATGCTTTATGTGAAGAATGATGCTTTTTACAATTTTATTTTATAAAGACAGTTTTAGTTAGAACTACACTATTAAATTAGCGGTTGACAGCTCCTGATGGATGACATGAAATCAGTTGTGCCTATTAGCTAGAACATTTTTAATATCTAGGCTGTACTAATTCATCGTATTTGTAGAGTGATTATATGGAGGTCAAAAGGGTGGCTGAAAAATGAAAGAAGTATAAACACAATGCAGGGATAGTATGTTTTTTGGGGTGGTGGTAATAATAAAAGTAGCTGAGTTAGCTCTTGAAAAGACGTGTTTAATTTACTTCATCCATTTCTCCTGCAGTAAAATAGTTCCCAGGAGTTCCTCTGCTTTCTGCCATGGATTTTTTTTCCTGCCACATCCTCTGTAAAAACCCAAGGCTTTTATTTGCTGGCTAGATACAACCTTTCTTCACATCATGGGCATAGTGGCATATTAGTTTCAGAATGAAAAACTAAAATCATAATAAGATCTCTTTATGATAGCAGTCAGGCTGTGGTATATATACTTTCAAATACTGTGCCACCTTAACATACAATGCCAGTTTAAATCTTATTAAATAGACTGCGATCAAAGTGGAATTTTGTCCTCTTCACTGGCAGTAGCTTATCCACATATTCATATCCATCTCGTGTTATATTAACTCCAGTTGACTCTTGATTTTTGTATTGCATTGACACTATAGTGTATATAGACATGTGCATATGTGTGTGTATAAAACCTTCATATAACCCTTTACTAGTCCTAGCTAGCAACTTCTAGCTAACTCTTTTCCACAAATCTTACCCTGTATTTGTTTTAATGTTTTTTTTATCTTTGCATTCACTCATGTCTGCCAATACATAGGCATAAGTATAGATATGGACATGGATGTAGATGTAGATATATAGAGATATTAGAGCTAAATTATGCAAGGTTTAAAAAATACCATGGAATGATTTTATTACTGTGTGAATAGGCTATTCTGTTAACATCATATAACTGCTAGGTATGTACTGAGATTGGAAGGGGCCATAAAAATTTAATTGTAACTGTTGTCTATATCTGATTAATCCTGCCTTCTTTCTGATTGATTCAATAGACTAATTTGTGATAGCAGTTTACCAATGGCCCTAGCTTAAGAAATAGGTTGTGTTTTCAGAAGTTCTTTTGTAGGTGAGTTGTTTGGTACTGGAAATGATGTTACAAATGGTTGTTTTCTAGTCTAGCTGATCGAATATTTAGCATATAATACTACTGAAATAAAGTACTAACGGTAGAGTTGGTTCAAGTTTCAGGTCCTGGGTAAAAGGATTCATCTGGTACTTCAGAGAGGAAGACAAAATTTTATTTTCTGTAACTGGGCCTACAGCTGAAAAAAAAAACACCCGTCACCGTCGAGTTGATTCCGACTCATAGTGATCCTATAGGACAGAGTAGAACTGCCCCATAGTGTTTCCAAGGAGTGCCTGGTGGATTTGAACTGATGACCTTTTGTTTAGCAGCTGTGGCTCCCCTGGGCAAAGATGTCTTTGACCATATTCTAGCTTCTTTCTGAAAGAGTACTAACTTGTCCTTGTGAGTAGATGTGTTTAACTTGAGTTGGCTTGAAGAAGACTGATAATGGAAGATACAGAGGGCCAGCAAAGGCCTGCTTCGAGGGAATGGAAAGGCATGAGATAAGAGAACCAAGAGGTCCAGGGACATAGCTGGACTGTAGTGGGATGGAGCTCTGGGTAGGGCAGGTCAGGGCAGGTTACTTGATGCAGCCATACAGTGATTAGTGAGGAAAAGAAAAACTTTCCTCATAGAAACAGGTGAGGTAAACAAACAATTCTCAGAAGCCCTGAACCATATACTCCCATATCAAGTTTACTCATGCAAATTGGTGAGGCAACTGGGAAGCGGCACTCGCATTGAATGACGATTTGAAGTCACTTGATTGCCAAGACTAGAAAGCCCTTTTAACAGTAAACTGCAGCCTCTTGATCCCTTCAGGCCTCAGAGTACCCTTATCTTAGCTCACCAACTACCTTTTTCCCATCATAAACTCTGAGTTTCTTTAGTACCCAAAATCTTAGCTAGATATTAGGCAATAGCTCTAGTACAAGGGGTCATATGAGAGTGTAGGGATATGTGTATACTGGTTTTTTGTTTTTTTTTTAAAGGTAGTAACAGATGTATTACAGAATTCTAGGCAGTGTAGCAAAGTGAAGTGAAAATTTTTCTCTTACCTCATCCCTCTTCACGTATCATCCTCATCATGATCCTTTTCCAAACCTGCGTGAATGTTCACTGAAATGGATTGTGGTGTTCTCTTGTGTAAAATAAGCATTGTCAAATTATTGGAATCTTGTCTAATAGCACAATGGTTTCTAAGGACCCAATTTCTCATCACAACAAACAGAATTTTTCCTATGAAAGTTAAATGTTATTCTTTTCCCCAAATTGTGACACATTCTGTCAGTACAAGAATGTACACAAAAGTAAAACTAGTACATTTTGTATGGGAATCACCACTTTGGATTATACCTTTTCCACCTTGGTTATGTACTGGCAATCTAAAAATAATCAGTTTGTTTAATAAACTACTTTGTGAAGTTAATTTTTCAGAATTTGAGTGTCTTGTATTTAAAATTTAAGTTTGTTATGTAATTGAACTGCCAAGGAGATACGCGTATTTTACATTCAGTATATATTAAGCCTCGTAAAGGCCTTCTTTGAAGTGGGAGTATATAATACAGTAGACAAAGTACCCACAAACTATAGGTGATGAGAATTTAATTGCACCCTAATGTCCTCTTTTACCTTGAAATCTTTTCAGTTAACTTTCTTCTATTATTTAATTCCATTACATATCAGTAATTGTGTTTATTGAGGGCAGTGTTTCTAGTTGTAGGAAATGCTGATCTTAGTAAATCTGAAATATAAGAAATGTTTTTTATAAATAATTGAAAGACGCTTTCCCAGTTTTCAAAATTCAGTGCTGGTACTGTTTTGCCTTTTATGTCCAGGGTATTTTATAATTGCTAACTAAATATGGCATCTAGAAAATCATCCCTTTAAGAAATCTCACACAAAATCTGCTACGTAATAGCTTATTATAAATCGGTTAAATAGACTGGCTTTATCTCAAGTGGCTTACTATAAAAAAGAGTTTAATATATTTAGCTTTACTGCTGAAACACCAAATAAGTTCTGACACCTCTGATGAGATGATTAAAGTTGGGTTTTGTTTTTTTTTTTTAACAGCATCAGCAAAGAGAGCATCGTGGACATAGAGGGTGTTGTGAGAAAAGTGAATCAGAAAATTGGAAGCTGTACACAGCAAGATGTTGAGTTACATGTTCAAAAGGTAACTTTTCAAAATATGAAACTATGTACAGAAGTAGATTTGAGTAGTTCTTGTAACTTTTTAAAAAATTTTTTTTATTGTACTTTCGATGAAGGTTTACAGAACAAATAGTTTCTCATTAAACAGTCAGTACACATATTGTTTTATGACATTGGTTAACAACCCCACGACA